AACAGGGTGTTAAACCATGGATGATAAATGAACAGCGTGTTAGTAATGTTAGTTGCCAAACTCACATTATCGAAGTATTAGTGTAATTGTCTTACTTTGATACTCATTTTCAATGCACGTACTTCATACAAGTTCATATGATATCAACTTATAGTTGGCTACTTATATTTAGGGATAACTATCATTTTAACCTGTTTGTACATATATATCTATATATTTTATTTCATTTTAAACGACGATCATTTTGTAACTTTAATTTATTTGGTTTTAAGTCTCCACTGCGTTTGATGTACAGTTCAGTCTTAGTTTGTTAACCAGTACACGATTATTTAAGGCACAGTTATGAGTGTTAATAAATAATTTTAAGTTCGTACGTTCTTACTTGCGCTTTCCTCACTCGACGGGCGAGGCCGTTGCCAGTTTCTCCGGAGGGATCTGATATAGGTTCATCGGTATATCCCGGACGGTCGCTTTCCAGCCGATCATGATAAACACCTTGTGCTGTAATAAATATATTTCCTCGTAAGGCTTATCGGTTTAAAATACTACAGACTACAACTAGAATTCCGAAAGTTACTGAATCATGATTCGTCGTTACATTTGATATCATATTTCATAAACCAGCAGTGTAGGATTACTCACATTCCATAATGTTCACCTGGTGGGAAGTGTACGTAACTAGCTATGTCTATGTTTTCAAAATTTACCATTAAGCCTTATTGTTGTAATATCAGAGCGTTAATATAAAAACTTTATGGTGGCTTACCGCCGTATTCAGAACCGGTCTTATTAAGTTTAGCGCTATGACTGATTAATAAAAATGATATAACTCCCTTAACCCTCACATACTCCAAATTAGTGTGATATTAAAAATATACGTAGAACACGCTCCCCCCTTCCAGTGGCTCAGTGGTAAGTCTGAAGGCTTATAAAGCTAAAAACTGGGTTTCGATACCCGTGGTGGACACAGTAAATATAGCTAATTGTGTAGATTTGTGCTTAACAAGAAAACAGTATTTTTTTCCACCTCGTGCTTTTTATGCTAGAGCCAAGTAACCAAGTCCACCCAGTTATACACCGACATCACATTTCATAGGATTAACTTGTGAGTCTTTAAGTAATCAAGTCTACCCAGTTATACACCGACATCACATTTCATAGGATTAACTTGTGAGTCTTTAAGTAATCAAATCTACCCAGTTATACACCGACATCACATTTCATAGGATTAACTTGTGAGGACCTGAGGACTTATACCACATGAATCCATATAAATAGTTTAACTTTTTTCCACTTCAGTATGTTGCCTATTTTCTTCTTTTTGGAATCGCCATCTGTAACTTTTATTTAAGGATATATATATATTTCATCCCAAATGACACTGATTTTTGAAGATACTACGACTTCCTTGAAACTATATAACGAAATCCCATGACTCCCAGTTTGAGACCCCTTGGAGTAGATCACTGTAATTGATTATAGAAGCAAGATCTTTTCTGTTTTGCGCCACGATGGGTCAGCAGTATGATTTGGGACTCACAACGTTAAAATCCGGAGTTCGATTCTCCTTCGTGGACAGATCACAGATAAACCATCATGTAGCTTTGCGCTAAAACCGAACAAACAAACTTATTAAAAAACAAACACAGACTATACAGCCTCTCCCAACTACTTGTCGGTCACCAAAAGATTTAATAACCTTAATTTTCTTAAAAGTTTCTTTCAGCCATCCCATGCATTTAGGACCTTTATATAAACGTCGAAGAATATATGGTGATGTTTACAGGCAAGTGATCTTAGTCCTAGTCTTACAACGCAATCACATTCAAACATCCATAACATAACAATCCTTGAGAGCATTTGTCACTATTTAAGATACAAAAAATATACTCCTGTTAATCAGTACTGTCTAAAACGTTGTTGCGTCAGCGAGGTCACGTGACTAGTATCACGCCACGTCCTTCTCGAACCTTCATGAATTATCGGGAGACTACTAGATTGGGGGTAGTCTGGTGTATATATATATATAAGACGATCACAACGTGACGGAACAACAGTGTAATGAGTAATTGAATGTATGCGGACAGAATATTGTTGGTCATGTGAGTCGTGAGTTATCGCGTTTGTTATAGAGCGACTGTTGAAATTAAGTGTATCGTAAAGTTGTATTCGGAAAGAATAAAGCAGTTTTATTTAAGAAAGGACTTGTGTCGCTAAAGTTTAGTCGGAAAGAATTTACGGGAAAATTAACTAACGAACGGAGAAGTAACAACGTCTTCTTTCATTGATGTCTTAATAAATGCGCGCAAATTAGACTTTTGTTTAATTCGATATTCCGAAACTAACTAATAACGCAAGTTATTACTTTAAGAACGAACCGTAAACATCAAACTTGTCATTAATAGGGATTGTGAAATTAGTTATAAAGATTTTCAAGCCTCTGCTGAATTCTGAGACTTTCAATGTTTCCAGAAAGACAAATAAAAACTTCTTCAAAATACCACTTTTAAGGATAAACCACTTAATTAAGAAAGAAATATTAATAATGTTTGAGGCTATGCTTTGAATATTTTAATTTAGATGTTTTGTTTGCTAGAGGGAGGTTTATATAGCACGATGCCTAGAAGTTTCCTAAATATTTAGATCAGCCATGACGTCTCGAATAATTGGGAGGTTTAGGGGAAAATATTGTGAACTATAAGAAATACAAGTAAGTCAACTGATCAGCGAGACTGAGAGAGAGAGAGCTAATGAGTGAATGAGTTAGTTAGCGAATAAGAGACTTAGTCATAGAAACAGCCAGTCGGTTAGACAGTAAATTAGTTAGTCAGTTACTTAGGTATCTGTTAGTCAGCCAATGTTGAATTGTGTCGTATATAAAAGAAGAAGAAATTTAATAGGTCACTGTTAAGTTTTATTTGTGAATTAGGCTTACCACCTAACATAACCTGTAGAATGTAGTTGAAGAAATAAAACGCTTTCCTTTTTGTTAAGTGGACTAGACTTTACATTATATTTACTGAATGATAAAAAAAAAATAGTCAAACAGTAAAAAACCGTTACAACGATAAGATTACTTAATTCAATTCAGGCTTAGCAACACTGTTATTTTCCCACATTTTTAACGTAGTCTTTCTGTACTAAAGGAAAGGTGTACCCCCTTTCACGTGCCAAACTAACCTCGCCGGCATTACATAATATAAACATATAAATTTCAATATTAATAATGATATTTGGTAATTTTATTTATTGTTGCTTGACATTAATTATAATATAGTGAAGACTCACTCGTATCTTTGACTTAGGCCTATGTGATTACTTACGTTCATATGGTAGGTTTGTTTGGTTGTTGAATTTTGTAGTCGAAGATTAATTGTGCTAATCGTCCCCAACTTTGAAGGGACAGACTAAAAAGAAAAAAAGGAAGACAGCTAGTTGACATCACCAAACGTTAACGTTTGAGCTACTCCTTACCAAGGAATAGTGTAACTGACCATCACATTATAATGCTCCCATAACCGAAAAGGCGAGCATGTTCGGTGATGGGTTCTGATTCCGCGACCTGCATGTTATGAGTTAATCACCATACTAGGCCTCTGTCCGACAACACTATACTTACATATGCCTTTCAAACTGATAAAGAAAGAAAATTTCCTTAATAGTTTGTTAAAGACAAATAAGGACATTCCAGCAAGTTTGAGGGCTGATAATGCTAAAATTTGTGCTTCTATCCCTTCAGTGGACATAACACAAGTAGCTCATTGTGCATCTTTACGCTTAACAAAAGAAATACAAACAACAAACTTAAATACAAAAAAAGATTTCTAATATCTATGTTCCAAAATTGTGTTATACGTTCACTTGGTGTGTTAGACTTGCAAAAGAGTAGAGTATGATTCCTAAAAACAACAACAACGAACAGAAAAGTACGTTAAGTAGTACCCTAATGGGCCAGCTTTTTGTTATTAAGCGCAAAGCTACAAAATGGACTATCTGTGCCGTGCCCACCACGAGTATCGAAACCCAGTTTTTAACGTTATAAGCCTTCAGATTTAACGTTGGGCCACTGGGGGAGTCAGTCTAAAGAATTATAACGCTAAAATACGAGTTCGATTCCCCGAGGTGGATAGAGCGCAGATAGCACATTGTGTTACAACGTTTAAAATAAATATTTTTCATGATCTGTAACCTTCAAGATGTTTTCACTCATAAAAGATGTTATCATTTATTTAGTAAATATCGTAAAAGTAACATAAATTATTTATACACATTCAAGTATTTAAAAAAATACTTAAAACTATTCATCGTGTAACCGAAGACGAAAACTAAGAAGTTTTATTTGTTGTTTGTTTTGAATTTCGCGCAAAGCTACATGAGGGCTATCTGCGCTAGCCGTCCCCAATTTAGCAGTGTAAG